TTGTTTTTCAATGTTCGCTTCTTCTATCTCATATACTTATTTTGATTAGATTCCCTGGAGCTGTAAGGACTTCAACCCGTCTTGTTTATATGACTTTACAATGTCATGAACAGCGGCTTTCGATGCATAATGATCTTTCAAATGAATTTATACATTGGAAAAGATCCTCGCTTGATTGTGCTTGATTTTGCTTTTTGGCGTTCAATATCTACAACACATGATGAACGTCATTTTTTGACGTGATTGATTTTTCACACCTTGACTACAAATCGACATTAACTGTGCATCCCTTTTCTACCTGAATCTATTTTGGCATTTAAAACAAGTACTCTGGATGCATTTTATTTCTCCGTATCCAGTTTAAACATTTCTTAGGTCTATACCAGTTTTTTGGGGGGCAAAACTTTATAGAATGTTGGAAAAGGAAATGCCTTTCCCTTTTGACGTCATTTTCAAGGTCTTATTTGTTTGGACACTCCATGTAAAATTTACGATAAAATTTCATAGAACTCCTGGAATGAAGTAAAAATTCCATATTTCCTTTTTTATGGAACAATAGTGTCTCAACACATACCTGAATTAACGGAATATTTGGATATCAAATGTTCATATCAAAACAGTTTTACTCAGTTACACTTAGGTCGAAAAAAAGTCGTCTTCGAGGTTGCGCCGCCTGGAGATACCATTGCTTACAAAAACATAACTAATTCATTAAGAAATAAAATTCATGATTTATGGGTTTTTTTCTATAGATAGAAAAGATGATGCTAACTAGATATTTTAAAATTCATTGATGTACCTAAAACGGTTTTAATTTTAAGGCGCTAGTCCAAAAACGTTTTGATAACTCCTCGTATGTCTGTATATTATTCATTTGCAGGTATGGATCCTTCGTTTTGGGATGGAATCCTATAAGGAAGAGCTGGTTAGATAGGACACAATGTTTATTGGTATGATTATAAAAATTGTGATGCAAAATAGTTAAACGACCAATGACCAAAGTAAGTGCAAATTGTATGTTCAAGGAAAAATGTCTGGCTGCAGGTAAGATCGGTCGTAAGATTAGGATTTTTAGGGTTTTTTTTCACCAATCGTTTATTGAACTTTTAGGACACATTTGGGACCTAAGCCGTTCTCATCAACCACGCGTTTGTAACCCTCTCCCTGTACTGTCTGTACAAAAGAAGACAAGAATTTATCATTTTCTTGTTGTTTACAATTAATGTTGAGTTGAATGATTGTTGCTTGGTTGTAGTTTGCAGGAGTTGTTACATTATTTATTGCAGTTTTCATAAAAATGATTGTAATGAGCAAAAAGAAATATGGATCGCCAAGGTAACTGTATTTAAGGTTAATGGTGTTTTCATCTCAGTAGAGCGAAGAGACGTAGTGGACGAAATGGCGACAATTATAAGAACCCCCTGGTGATTCAAAACTTAATACTACACATTAACACATTGTCAAAATGTTCCTTATTAGCAAGTAATTCAGGCAAGAAAAAGACACAATGTCAAACTGTTCCTGTTTCCCAAAGATGTACATATATGTAGTAAAATGTGTAATCAAATTACAAACATAAATTGGGTTCATGGTAAGTGATTTCCAGCACACTGGGATCTGTGAACATGGTCCAGTTAGCTAAGTGCTTTGATTTAAGAGTAAATCAAATCTCAAAATCGAAGACTTAGAATAGCTTATAATGAAATATGGAGATAGAGAACAATAAACAATAATCGAAACAATAAAAATGGGGTGCAGAGCAAACACGGAGCTATATATATAACATCAGGTGTGGGATCAGGTGCCATGAAGAAGTTAGCATACTCTGATGACCGGTCACACCTATCGTGTGTCCCTTGTCAAGATCGGAGGAACGGGGAAAATATGTAGATAACTGAGCGTCTATTGAGTTTTCATACATGTACTAATTCTTTGATCATTACGGTCAAAGAAATAGATCATGCATGAAAACTGCAAGTCAGCATTCGAATAAATGATAAATTGTATTTTCTGACAAGATTATTGTATCGACCACAGATCTTGCAAAGTTTAAATGTGTCTTTAAACGAGACTGTTGATATTCTTGTTTCTAAAAGCTTGCCTTTTTAGAAGTTGTTTGCAGTATAGATCATACTTCTGCGTATCGAAACAGCTGGGAGACATAAAACCTCATATGCAGATAATTGGGTGTTATATTGCTACATAAGTAAGAGAAGTTGACTATAGATAAGTTAGATAACACGTTTATCATCACGTTTAATTTATTTTCAGAAAGAAAACATGTTAACATTGTCACCAATGGGAAAACAATTATTGGACTTTTGCTTTATACTGTCCACCATCTTTTTCGAAAAGATATTTGCGACTTTTAAAACTTTATCTTGAATTTTAAAAAATCTAAGTTTTTGACTGGAAAAACTTTGATTCGATATTCATGATGAAAAAGATATAGATTATTTTCCCATGGAAAAAAATAACCAACTGAAGCAAAACCCCAATATAAATAAAAGCTAAGATATTTATATTTGAAGAACTTTATAAGAAGTATGACCCTTTCCTTTCGATTTTGAAAATTATGACATTATTGCAATAATGTCTTTAAAATTTGAGAGAATTTGCACAATTTATCATAATTTTTTTTTAAAAGATTGCCTAAAACATAAAAAGGTGATTTTAAATTTTTAAAATGCTTTTTATTGAAATAACCACCAGTTTTATTTCAAAGACATAGCGATTACAAGTAAAAATTTAAGGATCTCAGTAATATCTCAACACCTATGACATTTGGTTTTGAAGAGCTTTAGGTTGAAAACACCTATTTTAAATGGAGGGGTTCAACTGCATTGTAAATACATGTACATTTTGGAATAACTAGCCTTCATTATACATTCCATAATTAAATGTGACTTCTTTTTCTACATGTATCAAGACACTGTGGAAAACAACTTTAACATTCAAGGTCGGAATGTTAATTGTATGCCTGTTTATTCATTTCGATGAGTGATTACTTACTTTGGCAATATAAAATATTTGCATTACTGATTTTTTTGGTGAAATTATAAACAAATAGAATATGTTGAAACATTTGTAAGGTTAAAATAAAATGTTATTTTTATGAACAAAATCTGCTTTAGATATAACTGCAATTCTTATTCAACACAATGTTTCTCTTCATTATAAGTATTAAATTATTTTTTTAAAACTTTTTATATCATAGGAAGTTTTTCAATAAAATTAAATAATTTATAGTGAATTGTATAAAACGTTAATTAACATGCTATAAAATAACTCACTGGTCAGAATTATCCTGGTTTCCATCTTTATCCCACAAATCTGGAATTAACTTCATAATACCTCCCCGGCACTGATTCCATCACAGGGCGGTCAGGGCCATTCCACACAAGACTATTGGCTAATCCCACCGACAGGCTATTGTCACCAAATGTCGAAACGTTCTTCAAGGATTACCCCCCTTGTTTCTTCTTTGTATCATTGAATAATCATGAATGTGATGCACCTCCTTAAAAGTAGATAGACAACTTTATTGACTGCCAGTTTCAGCAAATTTGTTTGTTTTGGTTGAAAAAAGGACACCTTTGAAAAGATATTTACTTTAGATTTAATGCCAGGTATTGTCTGGTGTTTAAAAATGTGCCAATTTCTTTGCTTTGAATAAGTGTCATTTAATCTAGCGGAAAAACGATGGTCAGTGAAAGCAAAATGATTGTTCAGTTTTAAATAAAGTGAAAATTACTATTCAGGTACAGATGCAAAAATAAATCTGGGTTGACAAATAAGTAAATAATTTTCACACGGAAACTTACCTGGGTTTATATTAAAAAAAAATAATCCAGGATCAGAGATTCAAATGCGACAAATGTTGAAAAGAAATAATTAGCGGGAGGCAAAGCGTTTGGATAGATCTGTTAACCCAAGCTAGTATTGCAAGGCCGTATAAAAGGACCTCATATACGTTGTATATTAAAAATAAATAGTTACAGAGGCCGTTGGCCCTTGATTGAATTTTCTTATTCTTTCAAGCTCGCAGTTTACAATTTATAAAAAGGAATCAGTCTTTTGAAATCCCGATAAAAGAGAGGGATAGTTCTCCGTGAACCTTTATTATTAAGGCAACTGGACTGCAAATAATGTTATACAAGGAATTTTCATGCTCTAAAAAGTATTCTTTTAGCTGTATCACATTTACATATATTCAAAAAATAATTTAAAGTATGATAAAACATATATCATAATTTTAAGCTTACATTCCACGATTTATTGCATGAAATATATCTTGAGAACACTTAATGTGAAATTCATTCATCCATACATTTATAATCTTTTGAATCTTTTGTATGTGTTGGTACATTGCTTTCTAGAGCCACACTTTTAAATTATTTAACATACACCTGAGTATGTCAAGGAAAGCACTATAATTTATTTTCACAGTGCGTTAATATCGACCATTTTAACGCACTTAGAAAAAAAGTTCACGACTTAGTCAATAAAAATAATTATTTGAACCCTGTTGGATAACTTTTCGTCGATGACGTCACTTCAGAATCTGAGCTATGTAAACGTTTTATATTATGGTCTTTAGGGGTAGAAAGACGACGAAATGGAACCCAGCTTTGTTTGCTTATTGAAAACAATTTTCCAACACAAAAATTATGGTCCTTTTATAGGTATATGATACTGAGTAAGTATTTAGAAGCATAAAAAAAAATGTTATTTCCGCGCAAGATGATGGTTTTTTTTTTACAGTTATTTAAATAGATTAGTAAATGTATGGAAAAATTATTTATGCATTTTATATTTTTGATTTGTATTTGATTTTGTAAAGTTTCTGTTGCCAAAGTATAGCCAATTGGCAATTGTTGCTTAGATGCACGAGCGATAAGCCTTATATATAATACAATAGGGTATGTTATTATTAATCTAAGGAAAGTTTATTTCAATTTTTTTCATTAATTTTAATGAGAGTTCTCAATTAATGAGGGAAGATCAATTCATCAGTCTTTCGATGGAAAGAAGTATAAGTAAATAATGTTGCTATTACTAAAACCTAAGTCAGGAAATTTTTTTTACACATATTTTTTTAAAGTTCATTTAGTGTCTCCATGGTAAAAATAGTGATGGACACACCTAACGCACTTTGAAAAAAATAAAAGTGCGTTGATTTTGTCCCATATTTGACACACTTTGAAATTTCAATGGAAAAGAAATAATCACAACATGAATTCATAGTCCCTTAATTTGATTCTGACACTTGCTACAAATATTAAAACCAACCGAGATTTTAAAATAAAAGGGAAAATATCCTAAGGTTTTTTTAATCAATACAATTGATTAATTTTTCGCAACAGAATACAAACAAGGCTAATGAAGCACAAAAAGTTTAGTTAGTATTTTACACTGATCTTTTGTAGGGATAAAGCTTTCATTTTATACAGTGTTGAAGAATTACTAGCATGTGAAAGGCAAGGATGTCATATAGAAAAATGTTTTCCTTCCATTTTATTCTGTATTATGATGTTTGTTTGGGTATTTGGAATCAAAAATGTTTTATCTGGAATTTGTCAGGTATGCACGATGTATTATCTGGCTTAATATATTATTGTGCAATTGTTTTCTTTACGGATCATTGAGCAAAGACGGAATATAATATTTTAAGGTGAGAAACGCAAATAGAAAATAAACACTCCGTAAGTCTTAAGTTTGTATGTTGATATTTTCTTAAAAGATATATTTTAATGTCTTTATGTTGAGGCTTTCTTGCAGCAACAACAACAAAAAAATAATTCACTGTTCTTTGCAAATAAAAACTGCATTATCTGCAATGAATTCATCACGTAAATTAATGACATATAAGTTAGAACATTTACCGAATTCTTTTGTCAAAGATATTTAAAACAAAAGACGAAAACTTGCATCAAGTTTAATAATTTCAAAATGAAGGCAATACAATAGTATGTCAAAATAGGTCTGTACGATGGAATTACCTGTTATGAGTAAAATTAATGTGAAGTTGTTTTCTTTCTGGTTCATTGAACGAATTTGGAATTAAAACACATATGAGGAGAAATTTCTCAAATATATAAAAGTTACTATCATTTGAAATACACATTTAAAACTAATACAATAAATAAAGATTTGGTATGCATATTCAGCTGAAATATTAAAAAAAGACGTTTCAGTGCGAAGATATGAAATTAAACAATGTTGTTTTAAGAGACAAAAAGATACAGGTGTGGTTAGTCCCAAACACCACTCCAGTTTTGATTAGATATATTTTCTTACCGATTAAGAACAGGTTCACGATGACCAGCCACGAGGTGCTATAATTACACTTACCTTTTAAATACCTTCTATAGGCCCAAGGGATTATATCCTCTTTTTAATACCTCATAATATTTTCATACTCGGTCACGCTCCATTGTGGTTGTGTTATTTTGGATCATCCATCTACTTCTGAATTACTTAAGTAAAACAAAAACACTTTCATTTGACAAATATTTATTTTGAGTACCTTTATCAAATGATCGATTCCCTTGAAATCAAGATAAATGCAGAATACTGTAAAAATCTTATAAACATAATAACCCTTTTGTTTTTTATTTAATAGTGGACGTACTTTTAAATTCTATTAATTTTTTCAGTTGACTGAGAATATTCTGAATACACATGGCATTATTTTTATCAGACACTATCCTGTCTAATCATTGTGATGTTTCTATCTTGTCGTAAGATGAGGTTTCTATTAGTCTCTACATTTCTGTCTTCCATGTGCCTTATATGATCATGGCAATGTTTCTATTAGTCTCTACATTTCTGTCTTCCATGTGCCTTATATGATCATGGCATTGTTTCTATTAGTCTCTACATTTCTGTCTTCCATGTGCCTTATATGATCATGGCAATGTTTCTATTAGTCTCTACATTTCTGTCTTCCATGTGCCTTATATGATATGATCATGGCGATATTTCTATACCAGTACTTACCTGATGATGTTTATATCAGACACTATTTTGCTTTATCAACACATTAAAACAAAACCCTCATTATGTATTCTTTGAAACCAAAAACCTAGAAACCAATAATTATAAATATACAGTCACAAATTCTTGTATCAGGTTTGTAGTATTATCACAAGTTATTTTGGCCGTCAATAGAGATTTGAATTTAAAAAAAAAGCGTGGCTGGATAGTATCTGGACATGGATTCTGTAGAAATTTCATCTTCAGATATTTTTTATCATTATCTCATTACCACCAGAGATAATCACCCAGGATACTTTGTATTGGTGTTAAATCTTATTTTTTGACAAAAAAAAATCTTACAAAATTAATAAAAGGTCCCGAGCAATAAGATGTTTTTGACAAACTTTTTAATGTTGAAGTATGTTAAATATTTACCACTCCTGAAGCTAAAAATCCAAACACTAGCTGAAATAATTATTTAAAAACATGTTTCTGTAGAGGATTGAATGTATTGTGCTCTCTTTGAGCATGTACATTTATGAGTAATTTTCTCCTTAATTGCAATACATTCAAACGCCCTGTAATCTTACAATCATGCAACCTTAACCAAGTACTGTCATTGCATCAAAACTTCACACTATTTATCATTCACACTAGAGAAATTGTAATTATTATTATTTATAATAACTGTTTTATAATTATGGAACGAAATGAGCAGATATGTGAAGAGAAGCAGGGACACATTTAAAACTATTTGTCTTGAAATCTCCCACCATTATGAAAGCACTACCACCTTTTTATGTTGCTACAACAAACTTATTAACGAAAAAATGTTATCTAGCAAATTTAACATAAAAGATTTAATCAAAGTACTCAGAAGTACAGAGAGCCGGGCTCATTTACAGAGTAGAATGGATTTCTTACATGAATCACATTTATATTCTGATGAAAAAATTATTTTAAAACTATCAATATAAATGATAAGACACTGACAGTGAGTTTTTCAATCCTAATACCACGGTCCGATTTTGTCAGAATCAGAATTAATCTGGTACCGCAGCTGAATGTAAACAAACAGGCCAGTCTGGTTCCCTCTCCTGCTTTACCTCGTATGTGTAGAGAACTACGGTAACACTGATTATCAAAAATCCTTACGCTAATGAACTATGTTCTTTGACTTATGAAGTTTTCAAAGTCATTACTACAAATGTTTATTTCATATAGATAAAACTTCGTTTTATTTTTGTTGCTTTATTTAGCGTTTGTATTATCTCAAAAGCGGTTGAGAGTAAGAACTATATTTTTGCACGTAACTTTAAAATGGCGACTATTGGGTTAACATCCTGCCTTGAACAGGATGACATAAGCCGGCAATTGCTCTTTGAGCAATAAGCCCGGCTAAAAATGATTAATAGATTGCAAAAGACGAGTTTCTTGATATACAGTAACTTTTCCACCTAATATAAAGGAACATAAACAGAAGTCTCTTGCTGTGAACTTAAATTAATCATTTGTTTATTACATCAATAACGTTTTATCAATTTACAAAAAGAGTTTTCAATTCCCGATATATCAAGTTGATATCAAAACAAATGATAGTACAGAGTATGACATATTTGTTTCATTTTTGTTTATTTATTAATGGTAACCAATAAATGCATTATGATAAACTTTATGACTTCAACTTCATTGTCATATACCACAGAGTTTGACACAGCTGCTTCGTAAACGGTATTTATTACACTTGAAAAAGACGTCATCGGTAATCTAACAACCATGCTCTATGATAAACGTGTTGACTTGAACTTTTCAATCGTCAACTTTCCTTACTTATGCTGCAGTACACCTTTGTCAGCTGCATACGGGGTTTATGTCTCTCAGTTGATTTGATACACAAGAGCATGCTCTACCCATGAACAATTTCTAAAACGAGGTAAATTATTGGCAAGAAGTTGCTTAAAGAAGAATATCAACAGTCTCATTTAAAGTCATGTTGCAAGTTCTACTGTCGATACAATGACCTTGTCGGCAAATACAATTTATCATTACGTCAATTGACTGACGTTTTTCATACAAATTGTTAGGTCATTATATACACACTGAGTTGACGACGGATTTTTCCGTTATTTCCCGATCATGACAAAGAGCACACGGCCGGTGTGACCGGTCGGCAGGGGGATGCTCACTCCTCCATGGCACCTGATCCTACCTCTGAGTTTGTTTGTTTGTTTGTTTGTTTTGGAGATCCGTGTTTTATGGATTTCCGAGCTCAAAAACTTTTCTCTCCTTATGTACTTCATCAGTAAGTCTGATGTTGATTGATATCTTTAATGGAATTTTTAGACCATAATTTTGAACTGACACTGAATGTTCTACGAATTTTTCTGTTAGATCGTGCATGGAGTACATCCTTGGCGTGACCAACCTACAAGAAATGCTTACACCTCCATGGTACCTAATCTCTTATCTGCAACTCAACTCTTTTTATACCACTGAATTAAAATTAAAGATACTGTCACATATTTTTTATTACATAATGTCATTTTGCACCTCTTATTTTGCTTTCTGTTCTGACATAGCAAAGAATGAACTTTTTCATTATAATGGTATGTTAGGCGGAGGTAATCATTTAGTGAACTCAGTGCTAACATTGCCTCTAGTTTCATTTAGATCGATCACTGTTAGTAATCATAGCCTTTGTCAGATAATATAAATATATCTGTTTAAAAAAAACGATAGTTAAATGCCCAGTTCTGTTGTAAAAATTAATATACTATGGATCAGTACATAAATATATCAAAATGACCTGATGCATGAAAAAGTACCTATACTCTTTTCGTTGCATATAGTCATTTTATTACTTTTTACTGAATTGTTTCCAGATCATATGATACTTTAGATAGGTGATATAGTGACATATGCTAAAAATGTCCTTATATAGATAATATTATGCCAACTGATTAAAGATTAACATTTTCACCATACTATTCCTTTTTTAAAGGCTCACAGATTATCTACCGTCAAAGCATACTAGTACTTCACAAGAAACGAAACGGGAAAAGGAAAATTTCCTAATCCTGATTTATCACAATAAATACATACGTATACATCACAATTTATTTTGTGTACGCAATTGAACACAGAAAAGATGCTTTTGATGACTACTGTTCTCTTACTTCCAATTCACTATGTTTCTTCGTTTTTCAATTGTTTATACGGAGGCGAAACCTATGCTCCATGTGAAGTTCGCTCAACTCCGTGGATTGACTGTGATGGAACAGCAAACTGTCCCCAAGGGTACCAGATGAGATTTAATAGGGTTTGTTGCCCCTCTAAAAGCAGGAATGAATCAACAGAGAGCATTAAACTGAATTGTTTAACTAAATGTAACTTTACAAAGGACATCTTTTCTTTTTACACCAGAGGTTTGTTTTTTTAAACTTTCAATATTTTTACACACTATTTTGTTAAAGAGACATTTATTAGTTTTTGATATCATAAATTATATCTTTGGATATCACACAGGAGTTGATAAACATTATAGATACATTGCTACGCGTGTTAAAACAGGCACTCAAAGCTTAACATTTCAACCCATTTGCAAATGCAAACCATCGACTTTAATTTTTCTTCACTTTTGTCTTGCTATACTATTTTATTTAATTCAATTATGAATGACTTAAAGGTGATTTTTTCCCCACCAAATGACAGTGATAAAAATTTCATATTGCATACTTTGAACGATTGCATATTATTCAACGCCCAAATCCGCGTTTCCCACTCATGTAAAGATGCGGTATTTTGCCATTTTGCATTTTTACAATACGGTGTACTCGAAATAATCTATAACTACAACAGGAACTACATTTTCCCTTAGTATAAGGAAGAACTCCAGTTATAAAATCTTTTTTAAAAATCAAAAACGATACTTCAAAAACAGTCACAGAAAAATTCTTTGCAATGGAGTAATATTTCCTAACTTATTAAACTTCAGAAATCCACCAAAAGAAGCCCAGTGTTGTTGAAACCATGACATCGTCAATGATAAGTTCCGAAATAGATGAGAAACAAACCAGTGTATCACCGTTTCGAGTAGGATCAAGGTATGAAAATGTGACGTCAGATATCACGTCATCAGCAGGGACAGAAACTGAGCAATCAACGCCAGCTTTCTTGTTGCCGGAAAGATCAGAAAATCTAGCCTCTTTCCCAACAACAGAATCACAAGCGTCAACTTCACTTTTATATAGTGGACCAGGGCAGGAGATATCCGTGTCTGCTAATAGTCCAACATCGGTGTCGGCCAATAAAGCAAACGTTTACACTATACAAAAACAAACTTCATCGGAGTTTCCAAATATACCAACCTTACAAAGTACAGAAAAACAAACTTTAGATCAAAGAATTGAGCATAAAACAGCAAATTTATTACTTCATTCAACAGCGTCTGCATTGAAAACTAGAATGTTAGATTCTTTACTCAAAACAGAAATACAGGTACAGCATAATAGAACTTCCAGTTTAGTACTTACCAGTATATTACTAGGGCGATTTTTAAAAAGCACATCAACTCAAACTTCAGCTAGGGTTTTCAAAACCATTGACCAAGCATCATCAACCATAAGAGTTTCTACAGAATCAAACTTATCGGATTCTTTTTCAACCCTTAAGAACGCACCTTGGTCAGCAAATTTAGCAGAAAATGTAACAATCCAAATTGTGTCAAATAAAAATACGATGAAATTGTTTTCAAAACCAAATGTCTATCAACCACGTCAAAGTTTGTCGACGACAAAGATCTTTTCGCTGTCAAATTTTGGTGTGTCACCAACTCTGAACACAGGATACAACGACTCCTCAAATACAACCACGTCTGATCCAGAGAAGGGAAGTCACCATTCAAGCTCAAAAGCAACTGATATCTTTGGTAATTTCATTTCTGAAAAACTAGAATACAAAGGAAGTAACAGTCTGATAAAAGAAGAAGTTACTACATGTATATGTTTATCAATTAAATAAAAGGGATTGAGTCCAACTCAAAAATTCTTCTTGCTCTGCAGACTATTAAAATGATGATATATTTTTAATAAAAGTAAAAGCAGCTAATAATATTGACATGAAAATTGATCAAACTTATCTAATAAGGATTTTTTAAATAAATAATTTGTATAAGCATTTGATGCTTATAAAATCACAAAATTACAGCCTTAGGTTTTCTAGCAGTTCCTATTATGAGAATTCTAAAAATTCTGTTTGTATTTTTCAGATCTTATCATAGTTCTCGTGGTTGTGTCAGCTCTCCTTGCCGTTGTAGTTTGCTTCTCTTTTGTGCTGTTTGGATGAAGAAATGCAGCAAAAGACGGAATCTTAAGCACGAAGTGTTTAGAGAGACTATGGATAATAACATATAGTCTGAAAATTTAAAAATAGTGATTATATTGATTGCTGTAACTTTTAAATTTAAGCTCCCAAAATGTATCTAAACGGCAATTTATAATAATTCAGCAATTATGTTTTTATTTACGGAGACATTTCTTAAAAAAAATAAAATAAAAATTTAAGAGCTTGAATTCCCATGTTCGCACTCAGTAGTAGTTCTATTGTACAAAACACTCCACAGTACACTCTCTCCGTGATACTGGGTCAGGAATAGGTCATATCGACCTAGTTATTTACGACTGTATACAGAAGATCGTAGCTTTTTTCACAAAATATATGTATGTTGATCAAGATATACATGAGCTTCAGGGCGCACCTGAACCCATTGGCAAGGAAAAAGCTCAAATCAATTCAGCATTGCAAAGTTTACAGGGGGTGGCTTGAATTTTACACTTTGAGGATGCTTTCATATCGATACAAGCAATGTCTTTGCGGTTTTTGAGCAGAAGAATTTTGAAGATTTTTAAAGATTTTTTTTTCTTATATAGTCCTTCGTAAAACATTTTAGTCGCTGGCTTCGCTTGGGGGTCGGCCCCATCCTACCCTCGTTGGTGCATGGTTTCATTAAACTGGATTTGTTCGTATATAAAACTGTATTCCCCAATTCTGACCCCACCCTACCATCGAGGTTCAGCATTTGAAAACAAAAAATGTTTGCTCTGACTATAAAAGATTTTTTAAAGTTCAATTCTTTTGGCCCAACGGTTTTCGGGAAGAATATTTTTTAAAGATACCACCAAAGGACTTTATTCGATAATGACCAGTATTTACACCCCCCCCCCCCCCAAAAAAAAAATAAGACTAAGACGGGGAAAGATATTATTATGTTCTAAAACAGAAGGATATCTGCAGACTGAAAGCACTGAATAATTTCATGAGCCATGACGCCATACATATAAAATGACGTAAATTAAAATTTCCATGATTTTGACAGAAAAGGATGTTTAGTACGTCGATATTTTGTGTAAAAGTCAGAGAGCTCAATACCTTGATATAATGTGTTAAATTATAATATCAATGAAATATGTAACTAGAGCAGGCCTTCGCTCTATTGAATTTATAGTAAAAATTTAGCAAATTTTGTCCATTTTTCCTCTTTCTGAAAAAAAACAACAACAACAAAATCCGACTAGTATTTGACGTCATAAAAACAAAAATTTTCAATACCTTGCTTTGAAATTAAGATATGTTTTGTTAATCTAAATTTCTCGTTCAATATATACAATTCAGCACATTTCAAAAATTTTCAAAGTATGACTGTTGTTGGGCCAAAATTATGCAATATATCGCATATATATGTCACAGTTGTAATTAAATTATGATTATTATTAAATATTTGCTTTGGTGCTTTGCGCATTATTAAGTACGTATTCTGATTGGCGCACATAGCCAATCGAATACAACTGGTTTTGCAGGTATGTGAGAGCCATGTGCGAGTGTTTTGTTTTGTACAGATGAATTTCTGTTTTTAGCATTTCCTTTACGTATGACTGACCAGTGACCTACCATGGACCAATGGATTTCGTTATACTAATTTATATGCATGTTTTACTAATCCGTGCACTATATAAAGTAAGAAACCCGCCGAAATCCCCACCCCAAGCTCTTCAGCCTTTACGGTAGCAGATTGCTTATATATATCATCACAGATCGATTCAATCGATGTTAAACGTATATTATCATTTCTTATTTAATACTGGATGCCTGGTAAGATGTTCATTAATTTTGTAATTCATTTACTTGTTTAATCTATGTAACGATCTACTGGCAGTCGTTTGAATATCTTATTTAATTATTACTTTTCGTAAATGTGAAATGTGTTTGTTTCGTGTTTGTCTATGTGTATTGTTTTGTATGAGTGTTGTGAGAGTGTTTTTCTATTTTCTAGGTTTTTCTTTATATCCATTAATAAATTGATAAACGGCCGAACCAGTTTTGTTTTGAATTCTTCTAACAAGACCGTGACCCTGTGACAAATGGCGCCCACGTGAATTCCAAACTTGAAGTGAATACCACAGTGATGTGTATTCTGTAAGTTGTTTTTGCATATTTTGCAGTTCAGAATTTTGAATTGTCAATGTTCAGAGCGCTGATGGCAGTGCTTTGCCATATAGCGGCTATGCAGAAATTGACATATGTGTACCTTGCTTTGGTGAATTTACATATACTATTCCTGTTCTAATAGTTCCCCAGACAAATTATTCAAGGCAAGTACCTATGATTGTTGGAACTAATTTCATTCGTTTTTACAGGAATGCTTGTAGCCAGAATTCTACTGATTCAGAGGATGTTCCAGAACAATGGAAGATAGCATTTGACAGTATGAATGATGAAACACCAGTGAAGACAACTAACAAGTACTGTAGATCACTTAATTTTAGCGACACCTTATTTTCGCGAGCTAGTCATTGTCTCTTTATTAGCGAGACAAAATTTTCACGAATTGTGGTCATTGCTCTATATAATCTTACGGAATTCTATTATACGCGAGAATGAATTTTTGGCGAGCATACCCTGTCGCGTAATTACGCGAAAATGAAGTTCTCGCGAATAAAAAGTGATTTACAGTATACCATTCAAGTGTTACCAAATGAGACAAAAGTAATCAGAGGTCTGGTAAGAAATAACCAAGGTATTGTTTCAGCTGTGAGCAAACAAATACTTCGTTATCGGGAGGTCTCATTGTTTGTCCTAGAGTTATTTCCCTTACCCAGGGTAAGCATACTACTACTATTCTTGTTAGGGTTTGCAATATTTCAGCCTCTATTGTACGAGGGTTGTCCGTAAAGTTCGTGGACAACATTGATAATTACTGACAAACATTGATAAAATATATGAATATATTATTTTCATTAAATTCGTGTTTCATTTTATTAACATGCAAGTTTTCAACAAAAACAAAGCACAAATATTTATATTTTTATCAGATTGAAAAAGACACACACTCATACCTGGAGCACTAAAATGAAAATTCTTGACGTTATCTGACGTCAAAAGCATAATACGAGTACATGTTACTTTTCTCAATATAGTCTCCGTTTCACTCAATACATTTCTTACGTCGCTTTAACCAGTCATAAATATGTGCACATAATGTTCAGGTTTCATACGTAAAATAATATTTAATAATACCTGTCTCATATCCTCCAATCCTCTAACCTCTGTCCGCGTAAAAACGATTTTATTTATGGAAATACGGTAAAGTCACGTTACGAAGTTCATTTTTTTACAGCACTGCAATCTCGGAATGATGGTTTTCCTTCACGCATGTCATCCTTTAAACTGTTCCTTCCGTCCGAAAATATTATATATCACTTAAATACTAATGTACGGCTCCTTTTACTATGTTTTCCCGTTTGTTTAAAAAATGTATTGGTCTCTGTAGGTGTTTATCAGATGTCTACGCAGAATTTTATCACTGCTCACTGCTCCACCTATTCCGAAAACGTCCTTTTTTTGAACAATTCCGATTCGCCTTAATATGTTCCAACTTTGATTGCTTAGCCATTTTTCAACGTTGAATATTCAAATTTTGCAGGTTTGAAGTGATAACTTTTGTCAACCTCATAATGTAAAAGTCATCCAGATTTCTGCAGAATTTTATAAAATACAAATGAAATTTATAAAGTGATAAATAATTTTTTAATTAAAATTTTGCGGTGCTCCGAGTCTCCATACCAAGTCTTATTATGAAGTCATAATTGTAATTAAACATTTGAAATTGAATCAGATTTTACATTTCTCAGTTCACATTTAGTAAAGGATTAAAAATATGCTAATAATAAATATCAACGACGCAACTTTTATTCAATTCTTAGCTTGTCTACGAACTTTACGGACAACCCTCGTACATATACCACCGAAATCACTTTTCTGTTCAGTAAGTGGTGTAAAATTAGTGGACTCTTGGAATCCTGAAACACAGGATCAAGGTATTAAGAAACCCAGAATGTCTTTGCAGGAATTGGACATCAAGATTTCAGAGGAGAAATTAACTTCCAAACAAGTAAGTGAGGCTAAGAAGTTTCTCTCTGGTTGAACTCATTTATTTTCAGATGGACCAACTGATATAGGTAAGACTGATATATTTTAATACATGAAATTAAGCTTACAGACAACACACGATTCAAAGTACCATACAGACGAATTCCACCTGGAATGTATGCAGAAGTACGAGAACACATTAAGGAGATGCTGGATGCTGGAGCTATTAGACCATCACAGAGCCCATATTTCTCCAACATAGTATTGGTCAGAAAGAAAGATGGTAGTTTATGTTTCTGCATGGACTACAGGAAACTCAACTCCAGAACCATCAAGGATGCATACAACCTTCCTCGCATTGACGGCACTATCGACAGATTGGTTGGGTCTAACTTCTTCACCAAACTAGATTTAACCAGTTCTTACTGGCAGGTTGAGATAGAAGAAATGGACAAAGAGAAAACAGCCTTTTCAGTCAGCGGTGTTGGTCACTATGAGTGTAACAGAATGGGATTTGGATTGACGAACGCACCTGCGACTTTTCAGAGGATTATGGAAAGAGGTATGGTTGAGTTGAACTTGAGAGATTGTCTTGTTTTCCTCGATGACATACTCATATCTTCGCAAACGTTTGACGAATACTTGGACCGACTAACAGCTGTATTTCAGAGACTTGAGAGACAAAATCTTAAGCATAAGGCCAAGAAGTGTGAGTTTTCCAAAGAGAGTGTTACCTACTTAGGACATGTAGTAAGTAAAGCAGATGTAGCTACAGACCCAGAGAAGACCAAGTCTATTTCTACATGGCCAGTCCCTCGCAATATTAAGACACTTCGAATATTCCTAGGATTTGCAGGATATTATCGGAGGTATGTAAAAGATTACTCTAAGATCATTAAGTCTCTCAACGATCTTCTGAAGGGCCATTCTACAAACTCTAAGGAAAAAGGTAAGTCCAAAGTCAAACCTTCACCATGGAGATGGGGAGATGAGGAGTCTCAGGCGTTTGAAGAAATCAAGAGGAAACTTACATCACCACCAGTCCTCGCCTATGCTGACTTCGACAAGCCTTTCATCCTCCATACAGATGCTTCAA